TTGATACACATAATTTAAGTTAAAGGACCAGTATGTAAGGATTTAGTGGCATCTAGTGGTGAAGCTGCAACTAACTGAACACTGCTCGCACTTGTTTTTGAAGACATGGGAATGAGAATGAGGCTGTAAAGTGTTTGGTTTGTCTGTTCTGGGCAAGAAAAACACAACAATTCTTATTTTTGGGTGATTAAACACTAATAAAAACACATTTAAATGTTACATACTGCATCTTTAAGCCTGATATTGATACGGGTTGATCAGAAAATTGTATATTTATTAGAAAACTATTGATATATCTCCTCAGAACTGAACGTTAGAGCAAAGTGTTTGATTAAAATAACAATTTATAGAGTCAAATTGACACATTTTTCTCTGCTTATACTTGTATTTTTCACAAAATTGCCCGTTTTCATCTCTATAAATGGTATAAAGATGCATTCGGTTGATCCACCTCTTTCTTCCAGTACGAGCATTCAGAGAATATGGTAAATAATATCTCTCTTTAAATAGCTTTGAGGATGAAATAGTAGCTGTGTGTGTGGACATCACACTGCCCTTCCCTGTGGCCTGGCAAGCACTTTACAAACAAACCTAAGCAGTTTTATTGATAGGGTAATCCCAGACTGATTAATGGCCCAATAATCAGCCGTAACCTGCAATAAATCAGCCCACCAATCAATACGGGCCTGTGCTCTGCAGCCGTGGCCAGATCATTACCGTGTCACTGTATATCTACCATTAGCGGAGCTGAGCGCTGACGGGAGGGAGGGAGGAGCGGAAGAAAAAGTGCTTCCTTTTTCTAATGTGTTGGAAATGGGATTGATAGAGAGGTTTTTTTAAATTTCATTTGTCTCCCTCCACCTTCCTCCCTCCTCTCTCTTCTTCCTCCCTCCTCCTCCTCTTTCAGTCTGATTAATGGCCGTACAGCGAAGGCAGTGATAAAGATGGAGAGGGGTGAGCAGGATGTTAAATTATGATAATGACAGCACTATTAATGACACCGGGAGACATTATTCTTCAGCCCTTTCTGGCACATCACAGCTGTTAGTGGTGCTGAGGATGTTAAAGGGGCTCTTATTGATGACTCACCGATCAAACTGAACACAAAACAGCTATTTTTAAAGATTTTTAAGGTGTTTGTGTATTGATTAAACTTTAATATACATTATTTATTTTTCATTTAAACGTATTTCCCAGGAAAGTGGCTACGGGTCACACAAAACAACGATTAATCAATGAGTTTGATTGACAGAAAATTAAATGGCAACTACTTTCTGAGGTTTTGTGATCATGACATTCACCCGACAATCTTTAACTTTGAGCGACACAGAACGAAGATTTATTAGTTAGCTAGCTAGCTAACAGCATGGCTAGCTACTGGAGCTCACTGATTACTGTACAAAAACTTTATATCAGTGATTTTGGGATAAACTGGATCATATTTTATGGTTTTCCCTCTGATTTGTTTTTAATAATTTTGAGGTTTGGACAAAACAAGCATTGCAAAGGTGTCACTTTGCACTCTTACTGTTTTCAGAATTTTTACAAACCAAACAATCAATAGACCTTTTTCACAGCAGCCATTTTGAGATAAAATAGTGGGGTAATCACCTGTGAACTGGGGTTCTGTACCTTTCAGGTAAAAACAGAGTCAGGGTGCTGCTATTCCGCATGTTGGCTCACTGGAAAGGCTCTCCTACAATGAATGGATGGAACCTTAACTAGTCCTCTTTTACAGGCAGGATTTCATTATCCTCAATGCGTTTCAGTGGATTCACACTTCACTATCCATCACAGTCCACAATCATTTGATACTACAAAGTGATGATCATTGTGAGGCTTTTTGTAAGAAGTTTATCATTTAATCCAACTACAGCCCCATGGTCAATGCAGATCCTAATTGAACAAGAACTACTGGAATAGCTGGCTTGACCATTAACAGGTTTAAAATGTATATTTTAGCTTCATCTCCTGCTCTACCAAACACAGCTAAGGCTAAAGCTTTTTCTTGGGATGTAGATTTTTGTCAATTTGTTGGCAGATAATACACAATTAGGCACTGTAAGCTTGTAAATAACAGTGACAATAGTAACCTGGTTACTTTTAAAAAAAAATATATCATACAAATAACAACCCACCTCCACTTTTCTTTCAGTGTATCCATGATGATTGACTTACCCTTTCCACCTTTAAAATAGACATTTAGTTTTATAATTAACGCCACGTAAATGCTGAGGCCATGCTTAGTTTTATTAAATGCAAAAAAAAGAAAAAAGAAAATACATGTTCAGCAAAATGTTGAATGACAGCACAGCGTCTGACAAAGAAAAACTAAGTTATCATAATGAATAGGTATGAGCTCACATGAACACACTGTACAATATCATTACAGTTTAAAGAATCATTTCACCTTGGCATTAAGCAGCCAAAAGCAGGTGGACAGAGCTTCCGTGGACAAATCCTTCCAATAAACAAGAGACAAACGCTTCTTACTCTGCCACACTATATTACATTTTCAAAGACATGTACATGCTCTCTTTTGGTCATAAATACCCCCCAGTTGAAAACAAAGCACCATGTGAGCAGATGTTGTAAATCATTCCTGCAAAATGGTGTTGATTTGACATTTGGCGGCAAAAGGAACATGATATTGACACCAATGAAACTCTGTGGAGAGTCTCTACCCGTATGCAGCAACAAGGATCCACCCTATTCTGCCTTGCATTATTTTGTGATACTCATTCTCCTAATAATAGAAAAAAAAAATGTCTGGCCTTTTTATGACTCTGTCGCATCTATAGGCAACAGATAAATAGGCTGCTAATACACACTCTTCACATAATGCTTAGTTTAGGTCAACATACATTTGTGTTAAGTAAGAGCAACAGACACAACCATAGTAACAGTGTGGCCATTTTAATGGATCAGGCAATACTTGCTGTGATGTATGATTGGCTTTAAATAATAAACAGCAGATTCTTAACTAATCGGTAATCTAAACTTTGTATATGCACAACTACATTTGGTGTTTGGTGGATGCTTTCACCAAAAGTGCCTTAAAGTATAATAAGTGCAGACTTTGTTAGGATGAGTAACCCTGGTGTGAATAAGAAGAATTTAACACTGCCAAGTACTAGTACAATTTAACTAGTACATTTAATTTTAAATCCAGTTACTGATGAGGAAATACTTCTTAGGTGTCATTATGTCTTGGGATTCAGTCATATTCCTGATACCAGTGGGTGTGTGAGTGTAACCGTACATTATATTGATATACTGTAAAGACCCTAAGTGGTTTCAGTACGCAGCATTTCTAAATAACAAGAAAATGATACTCAGCTGTTTTATTTGTTCACAAATTTACTGTGAACCAGCAGCAAAGTGATCTACAACACTGGTTCTCGACCTTTATGGCTGAAGCCATACCATACTTGTAAACGAACTTAACTTAACTTAACCCCCGAAGAGATGATTTATATTTTCACTGTCTGACTATTTTACTTAATTATTAGAATACATCTCGAGGTTGCAACTACTTCAGCATATTACAAGACAAAGGAGTTTGACAAAACAATTACAAACATGACAGCATATTTGTATATTAGAAATATTTTTTTTTTTTACACGTCATACATTACAGCTCAAATCGCCTGGAGGTGTCCTGACCCACAGGTTGAGAACCAGTGATCTAGAGTAACGTCCTGCATTCTTTAAAATCACTTCCTCAAAAAAGGGTTCTGAAAAAGCTGAAACCGCTTGGCTTTGTTGAGCTGAACACACGTGTACTGTGTGGCTAACGCTAGCTGTATGCAATTAGTTTTTTGGCCCTTTGTAGTTTCACGTACCTTAATATACAAACTGTTTTACCCACAGAGATGAAGAAAAAGTGTTCTTCCAAATACAAAACCCCCCCATCTGTACGTTGTTTTACAA